TCAAGTCAATCCTACATGCTCACTCTTATCCCAGATTCTTGTTTTCGACATTTTTATTTTCGATATTTTTCCCTTTCGACATTTTTCCTTTCTGCCTTTTTCCATCCATTCTTTTTTTCGATCATATGTTATTAATGTAATAAAAAATAGCTTTAAGTAGGATATTCTTTTCCAAGAAAAGAAAAAGAAGTGAAAAAACAACGGAGTCGAGTTTGAGGGGAACTCTCCTTATTGGGAATGAACTTATTCAATTATTCTTTAGGTTTTATTATTTTGTTGGTAACACTGTTTCGAAGACGATGATCAACAAACGTGAGCAATTTTCAAAGCATGATGCACATTTTTATTTATTTGAATATCTTGAAACAGTTTTTACAAGCACTAAAGAATAAAATGATACATACCAGGCACGCACCCAGAAATTTTCTGAAGGAAGAGCCCAAACTTATGAGGGGGCCCCCATGGAAAAATTAAAAAATTCACCAGGGAAAAATGTCTACCTGTTCATCCCTACAGGCGTTTTCAGTCCTGGGGAGGGACCCGATTCGCATGCTCCCCCTTCGGTGTGTGTCTGATACATACCGTAGTCGAGTCCATCAGTGCAAGTCTGATACAAGCTTTCCAGCCAAATCTATATGCCCTAATGAATGAAATTCAAGTAAATAAGGGTAAATCAATAAGAGTTGTACGGAGAATATGCGGCTATGCATTCCACTAATAATGTATTGAGAGGATATTCAAGACACTACCGATATCTTCAGATTTTACATTAAAAATGACCCCATGAACCCGTTCTACAGAGAATCGAATGTGTGGTTCAATGATAATGATAGGGGTGCGGGTGTGGGTATATAAGTGTGGATCTGGGATTTGGGAGTTCTTTTTGTACCCGACACAGTTTCACAAGAACCCACACCCACATCCACACACCCACACCCACACCCACCCCTGTTTGTTCAACAATTACCAAATTGAATATTGATGTCAATGATTTTGATGATTGTCTTTATTTTCTTGATGGACGTTTTGATTCTTTATCAACATTGATCATTTATATTCAGACAATTTCTTCTTCATTATCAAATATTGATAACACAGTAAGAATATATTTAATAATTGTATATACATAAACATTATATCAGAAATATATCCTTTCTTCTTTTTTCTTTATAGAGACAACTTACCAAACTAAAATGTTTATCTTTAATAAAAAATTGTCGAACACAATTTTATGATAGTAGAGTTGTTCCATTACTATGTCGAATGTCAAATCTTGAAGAATTAACATTATATCTATCGATACAAAGAACTGAATCGACTCATATTGATGGAGATCATTTATACAATGAAATTTTTATTCATATGCCACAATTAAAAAAAATTATTTTCAGTATAAATACTCTTGTTATCAACAAGAATATTCGAATTAATCTTCCATCAAACAATGATATTCAACGTAGTTTTATCGAAAGAGGATATCAACAAATTGCTTCATATACTCACAAAGACTCAATAGAAGAAAAAAGTACATGCCATATCTATTCACTTCCATATCAATTTGATAGGTTTTACAATATGAATTGTCATTTTCAAGGTGGAATATTTGATAAAGTTCAAATAGTGATGATGACTGATAGAGACCATCCTTTTGAACAAGAATTTTTTCAACTCGTCTCGAATTGTTTTCCTTTTCTTCGAAAACTATCTATATCTAGTTATCAACCACAAAAAAGAAAACAACAATTATGCCCAATTATCACATTTCCTTATCTTCATTGTTTGATTCTTCGAAGTGCAAATGTTGATTATGCTGATCAATTTCTGAATGATACTAAAATTCATCTGCCTTGTTTGTTAGAACTTAGAATAACATATGAATCATTAGTAATGATAACATACAATTTTACCAATGATACAACACGTCTTACTTGTGCTCGTTTGCGAACTCTTACTATATATGGTTCATATGTTCGTCCAGAAAATTTTCATACATATTTTCCTTTATGTAACATGTAACTCTCCTTACATATTTTTTCAATAAAAAAAAGATACTTGCATAAAGCTGGTTGTTTATTTTTTCATAATGAACTGTATTCATTGCAGAAATCAGCAATTTTTGATAAAATAATATCCTGAGAACCAAAAGTGTGAACAGTGGTGGCTCAACCGTGGAAAGAGGTATCGGGGATGTAACACACACAACAGTGGAAAATTTATATTATTTTTTCCATTTAAATGGTCGAAAAATAAAAATACAGTAGGGATCTGCCGATTCTTTTCCAAAAAATACAGGATTAAATGAAACTCCTCTCGTACTAACTATAAAATAAAGTTAAAATTTCTTCACTTCGCCAAATAATATCCACTACATAATCATGATTGACTATAAATTCTGCTTTTAAGTTTTATCAATATGTTATTTTTCACGTTTAAAGATTGATGTTTTTGAACAAGCGTCATAAGCGTGGCAGTGAAAATTCTTAATTAAGACAGGGTCCGCCAGAATACCGATCATCGCGGCGGCGGAAAAATTTAGATTTTGACTTTGATATTCTCATTCGAAAGCCCATAAAAAGTTACTTAGGAAACCAAAATATCAACTCATTTTGATTTATCAATAAGAAGATAGCAGGTACCGCATTGTTTCGACTTCTCGAATCATATGCTAACAATCGAGTTTTTTAATCCTAATCGTATTTTGCGAATTTCTCCTCCATCGTTTGACGATTTGAGGTGCGGAACATCTCAAATGATAGAGAATGAAATTCTCTACAAAATAGTCTATTTCTATTATTTTTTGAATATAATTTTTCTTGAGAAAGGAATCAAGTTTGAAAAAAACATGTGTACAATTCTAGTCATCAGGCTTTAGTGTTATGAGTGAATGTTCTATCAAAGTAAGAGATCCCAGGCTGAAATTTTGATATGTTGTAGCCCTATTCACAGCGCATCTTTTAGTATATTCTTCATTGAAAAATTTCATTAGGAGGTTATAAAAGTTTTCGTCACAAAAGTTCGAATAAAGCATTATTTTATTCTTCTAACACAGTACTAATGAATTATTTCGTGAATACATCAAGAATGTATTTATTTGAATAGTTTGAAGTTTTATACTCGAAAAACAATATAAGAACTGATGGCTCGTGGTAAATTCGATGGATCATTGAATTGATCACTATTGAGCACTTATCATGAAAAACGCAGGTAACGCACAGACGTTTTTTCAAATTCAGAAGCGTATATCTCGACAACTAATGGAGCTAGAGCGATGAAACTTTTAGCAAATATATATTCGGCGGAGTTCTACTCGCCTTAAAAATTTCAAGTTTTTATCTTTGTGCAATCGAGTTTTACACAAGAAACAATGGTCAGTAACGCACAGACAAAAAAGGCCCTCCTCTTGCAGTACTGGCGAAAGAAGTGATAAATCCTGCGAATTGCTCCATGTTAATGAATTGCGTGAGAGAAGGTTTTGTAGCTCAGAGTTCGGGCTATCTTTTGGAAAAACGAAGACGTCAACATTTTGAAAAATGAGCGAGCTATTGACAAAACATTAAGTAACGCACAGATGTTTCGGTAACGCACAGACATGAATTTCTACAAAAAATTCCCAAATCTAAAATTTTTTTTCGTATTTGAAAATATCATCTTAGAACATCAAATTAATGATGTTCATTTATATTTCAAGCAGTCACTATTGTTTTATGTAAATTTTTTTTTGATGGTCATATCTGTAAAGTATTCTGCTTTTTCACTAGGGACTCCAATTGATCCATCGCTTTTAACTTGGGACATACATGACTATAGGTAATTTCTGATGCTGATTCTGAATTTGATATTCATTTGTGCTCTAAGATGTTTCTAATATGGCTCTCTAAATATCCGATGTCTAGAGGACTCTCATAAAATATGAGATACAGAAATTCTAACCTGTCGAGATTGTAGAGTATGTCAAGTTACCTATATAAAAAGATTTCCGACTTCACAAATACATTTCTGCTGAAGTATGAGGATTTTACGAGCCAAAATATCAGAACTGATGCAATTTTTTTCTAAAATCATTAGTAAAATTTTCGTACTTCAAGAAAACGTATTTGTTAAGCCAGCAATTTTTTTCTATAGGCGACTTGACATACTCTACAATCTCGATAGATCAGAATCTCTCTATATCTCATATTTTATGAGGGATCTCCAGACACTAGACGTCTAGAGACCCGTATTAGAAACATCTTAGAGCACAAATGAATATCGGATTTTGAATCAACATAAGAAACTACCTATACTCAAGTATATTTCAAGTTAAAAGCGATACATTAATTAAAGACTCTCCTTTATCAGTATTAAGATGACCTTTCTTCTTCAAATTTTTTCGGTAACGCTTCTGTTATTGAGCCGCAGTGAACTTCATATCAAGCAAATGTTTTATACTCACCGAATACGAAATAAATTTACTATATGCCGAAATAATCTAGAATTAACGGAGCATGATTCCTGTGAAGATTTCCAGAAGTCCTCTTAAAAACTTTTGTGCTTTTATCTCATGTTTTATTCGAAACTAAAGTAGTCATCAACAAAAACCAAGTAAGAGTGTCTTGAACTTCAAATTTTAGTTGAAATCAACAACTTTCAGTAGGCCTATCAATGTGGCAATATAAGGTACTTGAAAGTCACGTCTGTGCGTTACCAAGTTTCTCGGCACTAGAGCACTTGTATCAAAAACTGATATGTGTATTAGATAGTCCATCAAAAGTTAGTGGAAGATCAATAAGAGTTTCAAAGTAAATTACTTTAATTGAGCCAAAAAAAAAACTAAATTCGATTTTTGGTAACGCACAGACACTCATTTTTCTTAGTTTTTCGAAGGACTTTTCTCATAGCAATAACAATCTGTGGAACTTCTAAATAGATGAGAAGAAAGCCCAAATTCTTGGCTTCAAAATAGTATAAGATACT